TGCCACAAAACTGTTCTTACGAGCTGCAATAAACAAACTATTTGATTGTTATGAAAATAAGGAAATATAACAGCTGCTAAACTCGAATATAATGTGTGTATTAGTTGAGATAAGTTCACAGAACTCAGTCGTGTAACAAGCACAATAATAATCTTTAGAAGGTAACATCGAGATTAGCATTCACGTGCACGCAACAAGTTAATGAATATACTCATCTAGGAATCCAAAAATAGACAACAAGTCAGCAAAAATGTTTAATAATAGTAAACGTTTAATAATAAACTACATACATATATACATACAGATGGACTTTTTCTGCAGACTTAAGGTCGTTTGATGTGAACTTTCTAGAATTGTTGGGGTGGGTCAAGCTACACAAACAACTGTTAGTCTCAGTCGCTCTCGCTCTTTACACAAAAACCAAAATAAAGCAGACCTTCGAGAAAACTCGAAGCATTTCCATTTGGTTTCTCTCTCAGTCGACAGTCGACAGTCAAACACCATCTGCCTGCTATCTCTCTCCCGCTCATTCGAAATCGGTTGGAAGGTTCGCGACGTTCGACTCGTTTCGAGAAGAGAGCATCTAGAAATTTCGGAAAGAGACCGCTCGAGTATAAATACGGCCGGCATTTTCTCTTTGGCTCAATTCAATTCAAGCAATCGAAGTGATAACATCACAAACAAGCAACAGCCAAAAAAGCAAAACAAGCTGAAAAAGCTAAAAGTACAAAGCAAGACAAGAATTTAAATATTTTAAAACTAAACTAAAGTAAAGTGAAAAGTAATTAATTTAAAGTTGCAAATATTGAAAAAGTGCTTAACTGTTAATCAGAGAGCAAAGAAAAACAACAAAAGAAGAGCAATTCATCTTCAAATTCTCAAACAACAGCAACAAGCCAACAAGAAGAAGAACAAACAGAATGCCTGCTATTGGTATTGATCTGGGCACCACGTTCTCCTGCGTGGGCGTCTATCAGCATGGCAAGGTGGAAATTATTGCCAACGATCAGGGCAATAGGACGACGCCCAGCTATGTGGCATTCACAGATTCGGAGCGTCTGATTGGTGACGCCGCAAAGAACCAGGTGGCGATGAACCCCAAGAACACAGTATTCGACGCGAAGCGTTTGATTGGTCGCAAGTACGACGATCCAAAGATAGCGGAGGACATAAAGCACTGGCCTTTCAAGGTGGTCAGTGATGGAGGCAAGCCAAAGATTGGCGTCGAGTTCAAGGGCGAACAGAAACGCTTTGCCCCCGAGGAGATCAGCTCGATGGTGTTGGTGAAAATGAAGGAGACGGCTGAGGCATACTTGGGCCAGAGCATCACAGACGCTGTCATCACTGTGCCAGCCTATTTTAATGACTCACAACGCCAGGCGACCAAAGACGCCGGCCACATAGCCGGCCTCAACGTGCTGAGGATCATCAACGAGCCGACAGCGGCGGCACTGGCCTATGGTCTGGATAAGAATCTCAAAGGGGAACGCAATGTGCTGATCTTCGATCTGGGCGGCGGCACCTTTGATGTCTCCATACTAACCATCGATGAGGGATCGTTGTTTGAGGTGCGGGCAACGGCTGGAGACACACATTTGGGCGGCGAGGACTTTGACAACCGATTGGTCACCCATTTGGCGGAGGAGTTCAAGCGCAAGTTCAAGAAGGATCTGCGCAGCAATCCTCGCGCCCTGCGCCGCCTACGCACTGCAGCGGAGCGAGCGAAGCGGACGCTCTCGTCGAGCACAGAGGCAACCATTGAGGTGGACGCGCTGTTCGAGGGTCATGACTTCTACACGAAGGTGAGCCGGGCCAGGTTCGAGGAGCTGTGCGGTGATCTGTTCCGCAACACGCTGGCTCCAGTGGAGAAGGCGCTCATCGATGCAAAGATGGACAAGCAGCAGATCCATGACATAGTGCTGGTCGGCGGCTCGACACGGATTCCCAAGGTGCAGAACCTGCTGCAGCAGTTCTTCGGCGGCAAGAGCCTCAACCTTTCCATCAATCCCGACGAGGCGGTGGCCTACGGTGCCGCCGTCCAAGCAGCCATACTCAGTGGCGACCAGAGCGGCAAGATCCAGGACGTGCTTCTAGTAGATGTTGCGCCCCTTTCCCTGGGCATCGAAACAGCCGGCGGCGTGATGACCAAGCTGATTGAGCGCAACTGCCGCATCCCGTGCAAGCAGACGAAGACCTTCTCGACGTACGCGGACAACCAGCCGGGCGTCGCCATTCAGGTGTTCGAGGGGGAGCGCGCCCTTACGAAGGACAACAACGCGCTGGGAACCTTCGATTTGTCGGGCATACCGCCAGCACCGCGCGGCGTGCCCCAGATCGAGGTCACCTTCGACATGGACGCCAATGGCATACTGAACGTGACGGCTAAGGAGATGAGCACCGGCAAGGCGAAGAACATTACGATCAAAAACGACAAGGGCCGCCTCTCGCAGGCAGACATCGACCGCATGGTTAACGAGGCCGAGCGCTACGCCGACGAGGATGAGCAGCAGCGCCAGCGCATTTCGGCCCGCAACAGCCTAGAGAGCTACGTCTTCGGTGTGAAACAGGCCGTGGAGCAGGCCAATGCTGACAAGCTCAGCGACAGCGACAAATCCTCGGTACTGGAGAAGTGCGACGAGACTGTCAAGTGGCTGGACGCCAACACCACCGCCGACAAGGAGGAGTTCGAACACAAACTGAAGGAACTCACCCAGCACTGCTCCCCCATCATGACCAAGATGCACCAGCAAGCACAGGGACAGGGACAGGCGCAGGGCAACTCCAACTGTGGTCAGCAGGCAGGCGGCTTTGGTGGCTACAAAGGACCCACTGTGGAAGAAGTTGATTAAATTACTTCCTAGCTCTGTAATAAATAAGCTATCCTTATGTTCCCAGACTGACTACTTTTGGTTAAAGTGCACAATTAACCATATGCCAAAGTCATTAATCATTAATAAGCCTATTGTTAAACTATTCATAAGTAGCAGCAAATTTTACAATAAACCACTATTTTAATTTAACAAAACATAAATCCAATTGTCTTTTATATTTCCTTGTCAGAAAGAGTATGTAGAAGTCGGACACTTTCAAATTAATATTAATCTGGTCACACAGTGTATTCGACACTGGAAAATTTGTCGTTGTTTTTCCGACAAAGGCTGCTTCCGTTTGTTAAACAAAATGTAGCAATTTATTTTATTTTGTAAAATTATTGATTAAAAAAAGTATAATCATAATTTTGCAAGTTTTGTGTGAGAAAAGGATTTTGTGTGTATTCTACAGCCGTTGTTCTTGATTGTGTGTACTTATGTGTGAATATGCAGGAGTTTGTCGCGATCCCATGATTTGAGTTGAGTGAATAAAAAGTTGTACTGCCTTTGCTTTTGTTACTCCTCAGTGCCTGTGCCTGCCACAAGAAATGAGGGCACATTTGGGTGTGCAAAACTTTATAAATTGATGTATTTTATATTTAGTAAATAAAAAAGGGTGCTAAGTTTGGGCGAATATGTGATTATAATCTTACGCGTTTATGATAATATAACACGATTATAAGCCACATTTTAGGTTTTACTTACAGTGTGAGTATATGTCCAAGGATACGTATTGTACTATTAGGAAATTCATTGTTACCGTGTTGAATCCAAGTGAAGAAAACAAGGAAAGTTAAAATACAACTAAGATCAGACTGCGAATTTTAAGCGCCTTTTATATCATCCATTATTTTCGCCAAGTTAGAACATCGTTTTTTAGCCATTTCAAACCAAATACTTCAATTTATTGAGCAGTTATGTAAGAGGTCAGAGCTTGCATTTATTTAAGTACTGACACAAATTTAGGATAGGTTTTCTAATCAGGTTTGTGATGAGTCCAAGTTTGTGTGTATATGTATATTTCATGTATTCATATATGTGACTTGGAGCTAATTCACCGGTGTGTAAATATTTATTACTGACACTGTAGATAGTTCCCAAATTTTTCGAAGCCTATGGTTTTCCAAATATAATTTCAATATTTTGGTGATAAATCTTGACTCGAATCTCGTCCCTTTCTTTCAAGCTTTTTATGAAATATCCAGCGAAACTGACAACAAATCGAAACGAAATGCAATTAGAAGTTTGATCTCTAAAAATGTCATCCGATGCAACCAAAAAGAAGCGCCGATTACTGAATTATTTACTACTTACAAGTCACAAGCAGAAAGTGTGCGATTAATTTTTGGTCTGTAATTTAGGCTCTTTTGTATTTTGCTTCGCAGTCTTTTCGTGCAAGGACTTGCACTTGGGATTTTGTGATTGTGCCACAAAACTGTTCTTACGAGCTGCAAAATAAACAAACTATTTGATTGTTATGAAAATAAGGAAATATAACAGCTGCTAAACTCGAATATAATGTGTGTATTAGTTGAGATAAGTTCACAGAACTCAGTCGTGTAACAAGCACAATAATAATCTTTAGAAGGTAACATCGAGATTAGCATTCACGTGCACGCAACAAGTTAATGAATATACTCATCTAGGAATCCAAAAATAGACAACAAGTCAGCAAAAATGTTTAATAATAGTAAACGTTTAATAATAAACTACATACATATATACATACAGATGGACTTTTTCTGCAGACTTAAGGTCGTTTGATGTGAACTTTCTAGAATTGTTGGGGTGGGTCAAGCTACACAAACAACTGTTAGTCTCAGTCGCTCTCGCTCTTTACACAAAAACCAAAATAAAGCAGACCTTCGAGAAAACTCGAAGCATTTCCATTTGGTTTCTCTCTCAGTCGACAGTCGACAGTCAAACACCATCTGCCTGCTATCTCTCTCCCGCTCATTCGAAATCGGTTGGAAGGTTCGCGACGTTCGACTCGTTTCGAGAAGAGAGCATCTAGAAATTTCGGAAAGAGACCGCTCGAGTATAAATACGGCCGGCATTTTCTCTTTGGCTCAATTCAATTCAAGCAATCGAAGTGATAACATCACAAACAAGCAACAGCCAAAAAAGCAAAACAAGCTGAAAAAGCTAAAAGTACAAAGCAAGACAAGAATTTAAATATTTTAAAACTAAACTAAAGTAAAGTGAAAAGTAATTAATTTAAAGTTGCAAATATTGAAAAAGTGCTTAACTGTTAATCAGAGAGCAAAGAAAAACAACAAAGAAGAGCAATTCATCTTCAAATTCTCAAACAACAGCAACAAGCCAACAAGAAGAAGAACAAACAGAATGCCTGCTATTGGTATCGATCTGGGCACCACGTTCTCCTGCGTGGGCGTCTATCAGCATGGCAAGGTGGAAATTATTGCCAACGATCAGGGCAATAGGACGACGCCCAGCTATGTGGCATTCACAGATTCGGAGCGTCTGATTGGTGACGCCGCAAAGAACCAGGTGGCGATGAACCCCAAGAACACAGTATTCGACGCGAAGCGTTTGATTGGTCGCAAGTACGACGATCCAAAGATAGCGGAGGACATAAAGCACTGGCCTTTCAAGGTGGTCAGTGATGGAGGCAAGCCAAAGATTGGCGTCGAGTTCAAGGGCGAACAGAAACGCTTTGCCCCCGAGGAGATCAGCTCGATGGTGTTGGTGAAAATGAAGGAGACGGCTGAGGCATACTTGGGCCAGAGCATCACAGACGCTGTCATCACTGTGCCAGCCTATTTTAATGACTCACAACGCCAGGCGACCAAAGACGCCGGCCACATAGCCGGCCTCAACGTGCTGAGGATCATCAACGAGCCGACAGCGGCGGCACTGGCCTATGGTCTGGATAAGAATCTCAAAGGGGAACGCAATGTGCTGATCTTCGATCTAGGCGGCGGCACCTTTGATGTCTCCATATTAACCATCGATGAGGGATCGTTGTTTGAGGTGCGGGCAACGGCTGGAGACACACATTTGGGCGGCGAGGACTTTGACAACCGATTGGTCACCCATTTGGCGGAGGAGTTCAAGCGCAAGTTCAAGAAGGATCTGCGCAGCAATCCTCGCGCCCTGCGCCGCCTACGCACTGCAGCGGAGCGAGCGAAGCGGACGCTCTCGTCGAGCACAGAGGCAACCATTGAGGTGGACGCGCTGTTCGAGGGTCATGACTTCTACACGAAGGTGAGCCGGGCCAGGTTCGAGGAGCTGTGTGGTGATCTGTTCCGCAACACGCTGGCTCCAGTGGAGAAGGCGCTCATCGATGCAAAGATGGACAAGCAGCAGATTCATGACATAGTGCTGGTCGGTGGCTCGACACGGATTCCCAAGGTGCAGAACCTGCTGCAGCAGTTCTTCGGCGGCAAGAGCCTCAACCTTTCCATCAATCCCGACGAGGCGGTGGCCTACGGTGCCGCCGTCCAAGCAGCCATACTCAGTGGCGACCAGAGCGGCAAGATCCAGGACGTGCTTCTAGTAGATGTTGCGCCCCTTTCCCTGGGCATCGAAACAGCCGGCGGCGTGATGACCAAGCTGATTGAGCGCAACTGCCGCATCCCGTGCAAGCAGACGAAGACCTTCTCGACGTACGCGGACAACCAGCCGGGCGTCGCTATTCAGGTGTTCGAGGGGGAGCGCGCCCTTACGAAGGACAACAACGCGCTGGGAACCTTCGATTTGTCGGGCATACCGCCAGCACCGCGCGGCGTGCCCCAGATCGAGGTCACCTTCGACATGGACGCCAATGGCATACTGAACGTGACGGCTAAGGAGATGAGCACCGGCAAGGCGAAGAACATTACGATCAAAAACGACAAGGGCCGCCTCTCGCAGGCAGACATCGACCGCATGGTTAACGAGGCCGAGCGCTACGCCGACGAGGATGAGCAGCAGCGCCAGCGCATTTCGGCCCGCAACAGCCTAGAGAGCTACGTCTTCGGTGTGAAACAGGCTGTGGAGCAGGCCACTGCTGACAAGCTCAGCGACAGCGACAAATCCTCGGTGCTGGAGAAGTGCGACGAGACTGTCAAGTGGCTGGACGCCAACACCACCGCCGACAAGGAGGAGTTCGAACACAAACTGAAGGAACTCACCCAGCACTGCTCCCCCATCATGACCAAGATGCACCAGCAAGCACAGGGACAGGGACAGGGACAGGGACAGGCGCAGGGCAACTCCAACTGTGGTCAGCAGGCAGGCGGCTTTGGTGGCTACAAAGGACCCACTGTGGAAGAAGTTGATTAAATTACTTCCTAGCTCTGTAATAAATAAGCTATCCTTATGTTCCCAGACTGACTACTTTTGGTTAAAGTGCACAATTAATCATATGCCAAAGTCATTAATCATTAATAAGCCTATTGTTAAACTATTCATAAGTAGCAGCAAATTTTACAATAAACCACTATTTTAATTTAACAAAACATAAATCCAATTGTCTTTTATATTTCCTTGTCAGAAAGAGTATGTAGAAGTCGGACACTTTCAAATTAATATTAATCTGGTCACACAAAGTGTATTCGACAATGGAAAATTTGTCGTTTTTCCGACAAAGGCTGCTTCCGTTTGTTAAACAAAATGTAGCAATTTATTTTATTTTGTAAAATTATTGATTAAAAATAGTATAATCATAATTTTGCAAGTATTTGTTCCAGCCAACGCTTTAAGGCTAATTGTTAAGTTTTGTTTATTATAACCTGATCTCATTGAAAATGGGTAAAAAATAAGAGGCAAATGGAAGCATCACCGATCCCATAAGTTATATATACGAGGTGTGTTCAAAAAGTATCTCGAATTTTGTGTTTTTTCAGATATTATTTATTTATTCATGAATATCTATTTTGTCCCCTTCAAAGTAATCCCCATGAGATATTATACACTTGTGCCAACGGTTTTCCCAATCTTCGAAGCACTTAAAAAAATCATTTTTTTTTATCTTGTTCAGCTCCTCCTTCGATCCCGTCTTTATCTCGTCAAGCGTAGCGTAACGTCGTCCTTTCATGAGCCTCTTCAGTTTAGGGAACAAGAAAAAGTCATAGGGGGCCAGATCTGGGGAATACGGTGGCTGCGGCATCATTAGTGTGTTGTTTTTGGCCAAAAAGTCGCGCACAAGCAACGATGTGTAAGCAGGGGCGTTATCGTGGTGCAAAAGCCAATTTTTGTTCTTCCACAAATCCGGGCGTTTCTGGCGGATTGCTTCGCGCAAATTGCGCATAACTTGCAGGTAATATTCCTTATTGACCGTTCTACCCTGTGGCAAGAACTCATGATGCACCACGCCCCTGCAATCGAAGAAAACTGTCAGCAAAACTTTCACATTCGACCGAACTTGGCGCGCTTTTTTCGGTCTTGGTTCGTGCGGCAGATTCCATTGAGATGATTGAGCTTTGGTTTCCACGTCGTAACCATAAACCCACGATTCGTCACCAGTTATGACCCTCTGGAGCAAATTTGGGTCGTCGCGGACAGAGTCCAACATCTCATTAGCAATGTTCATGCGATGCTGTTTTTGGTCGCAATTGAGCAATTTTGGTACGAATTTCGCGGCGACCCGTCTCATGCCCAAATCATTGATAAAAATCGAATGGCATGAGCCAATCGATATGTCTAGCTCCTCAGCAACTTCTCTAACGGTGATTCGACGATTGGCCAATACCATTTTCTCCACTCCATTAATTTTTTCGTCTGTTGTTGAAGTGCTCGGGCGTCCGGCACGCTCTTCGTCGTTCACATCTTCTCGGCCTTCTGAGAACATTTTGTACCACCGATAAACGTTGCTTCGGTCCAAGGTAGCTTCTCCGTATGCCACAATCAACATTCGGAATGCATCCGCGCACTTAATTCCGTTTTTCACACAAAATTTGATACAGGTTCTTTGATCCATTTTTTTGAACAGGTAAAAATCGAAGACGATCCAAAACACGTGCAAGCAAAGCAGCTGTCAACAATTAAGTGAACATTGAAAATGGCCGAGCTTGTCGGCATAAGTGAGAGACATGAGTACCAACATAACGCTACAAAAAAATCGAAATTCGAATATACGTAACCCGCGAAAATTCAAAATTCGCGATACTTTTTGAACACACCTCGTATATTGCTGATCAACATTAACAGTCGAGTCGATATATATATGCAACCGAAAACGTTAGGGTCTTTTGTGTTTTTCATTACTATGGAAATATGAATTATAGTTTTGTTTGTGTTATTCAAATTGTATTTACCTAATTTAAACTCGATTAATTTTGTTGGTATCGATAGCCTCCTCAGAATAGTTGGCAGCGCCAGCTACAACAATATTTGTTTTGCCGGCCGGCATTACAAGTAAATCATGGGAGCCTGACAGTTCTGTACATTTGTACAAAAATAAAATGAACGTCGTGAAAGCAGCACAATTCAATTAAATATAGTTGAGCTAGCATTTTGGTTCAAATAAAAAGCTGTGATTTCTTCCAAAAATAAAATCAAATTTATTTATTTAGCCGATATTTTATCAGAGCGCGCATATCGATAAACAACGCAACGACGAAGAACGTAGGAATAGAGAAAAGCAAAACGACGCCGAATCCAATTTTCATTTTCGGAGGGATTTGGCAAGCGTGCCCTGCCAATTGAAAAAGTTAATTCAAAGGTATTTTCAATATAATTTATATAAATTTCGTGCCAAAGAGAATGAACGTTTGCATTTTATATTCATTTTATGAGAATTTTCTGTGCCCCACATTAAGTGAATAAATTTTCGCATTTATATTTTGGCGCAGCTCAATTTGCGATTCGAGCATACAAAAATAAGAAGACGGGTCGAAAGGAGAACGGCAAAACTCAGAACGCACAACTTGAAATAAAGCGAGTTCGGCAATCCCAATAATAATAAAAAAAAATAAATAAAAATAAAAAAAATAATATGGATGAGGTTGCTGTTGTGAAGAAACGCGGACGACCGGCAAAGTCAGGCCTTGCTGGAACAGTAAGGGCCAGTCCGGTCGACACCATTCCAACCATACCCAAAAAACGCGGTCGCCCACCCAAGGCCAAGGGACGCGGCAGGCCGCCAAAGGCACCGGCTGGCGGCAGCGATAACGATGATCTCGACCAGGACGAGCTGGGCGAGGCCAACGGCGAGTTGCCGTCGTCGCAGCCGCTAAAGATCAAGGGACGCGGTCGTCCACGCAAGGCGCCCATCCAACTGCTAGCGAACAGCGGCAGCGATGATGACGATTCCTCGGCCGACGAGAAGCCATCGGTGAAGCAACAAAAGCCACCATCGTCCGCCAAGCGCCGCAAGTTGGGCAGACCACGCAAGCATCAGCCCAGTGACGAGGATGAAGGTAACCCAAAAAGAAACCAAATCCAAATCAAATTTCACATCCAAGTACAGTTTCGGATGCATTTTTTTTCTAAAAAAAAAAAAAAAAAAGCGTTGTGCTCTTTTCAAAATCGAGCGATTCAGAATCGACTCTGCAAACTAAGTTTATTTTGAAGTTCATTAAAAATATATCGATTCAGATAGGAACAAATTTGACTTTGTCAATTTGATAAATGATGGAAAGAAAAAGCAATTATGGAATACAATTTTTCCCACTTTCAATCGGGATATATAATTAATATACATATATATATATCATTCACTTATATATAATATGTTGAAAATTGTGTATATTTCGATTTCGGTTGCGGTTCCATTTTCTGGTTTATATACTAATATATTTTCATTAAAATCCCATAATCGACTTGTTTCGAGTAAAAATTCACAAAATTTATAGATTATTTTTCAAAATATAATAATTATGAGATTACATTTCTTGAAGAATTAGTTTTTAATACACAAAATGTCAATTCTAATATTTGAAATCGATTTGATGTTTTGCAAAAAATGTTACGATTATTACTTTTGCAAGAATAAACTATTTTGAAAGTGAATTTTGTCCGCAGATGATGATGACGAGGAGGACGAGCCTCGTCCCGTTGGACGTCCGGACACTGGCGCCGTTAACTTGAACATTGTGCGTACTGGACGCGGTCCCGGTCGCCCCAAGAAGAATCCGGTGGGTGGCAAGCGCTCCATGAATGATGATGCCACCGAATCGAATGGCGATGATGCACCCGCACCCAAGAAGCGTGGACGACCGTCATCCAGGAAGACGTCCCCGTATGTGCCATCTGGGCGGCCCCGTGGACGCCCCAAAGCAAATCCATTGCCCGCCAAGCCTGTCGATGCCGACAACGATGATGAAGACGATGATGATGAAATGCAGGAGCTGCTGCTGGATGGGTACGAGAAGAATGCTGGTTCGGACGATGCTGACACTGAAGTGACCACACCAAAAAAACGCGGTCGACCCCCGTTGGGTGCCAACAAGAACGTTGGCCGAGCCAAGGTGCACAAGTCACCCGCCACAAGTCAGCAGGCGGACAACGACGATGATGCCGATGATCAGGATTCAGCTGGTGGCGACGATTTGGCCAAAAAACGTGGACGACCCACCAACAAATCACGCGCCCGCCCAAAGTCATCCAAAACATCGGATGCCAATGGCGGCGGCGGCGGCGGCAGTATCAGCGACGATGCTGATGAGGACAGCACCGTCTATGGTGGTGATGATTCTGATGGTCCGTCACCCGTCAAGCCGAAGACCGTCAATGCTACGAAGTCTGATCGTAAGGAACAAAAATCACCACAGAATGGCGATGGTGATGCTGCATTGGATACCAGTGAATCCGTTGAGTGCGTCTCGGATGAGCCCAATTGGGCCGATGCCTAAAGTTAGTATTTAAAAGAACAAAAACAAGAACACATTCAAATCGTACACACAACCCGATTAAACAACAACAACAACAAAACAAATAAACCACAAAATCATTTTACCCATCAACGGCAAAAACTTTGCATCGGATTATTCTGCCCATTGCAGTTATCCAATCAAAATTAATCAATTTGCTCCAAAAAAAGAAAGAATTAAAATGAAAATACCAACGGACACAACAAATAAAATACTTATATTTTTTGTTGTTTCAGTGTATTTCGCGATTCCACTCAGTTATACATATATATACATATATAATTCCAAAAATGTTTCATCATATTCCAGTATTTTTCTTATGTTATTGTTTAAAATTTTTTGTCTCATTTTGGCTTAAATGCATAAAAGAAATACATTAAATATCATTGTAGTGACTTTCTGCAAACAAATAAAAACCATTAATTTTATTCGAACCATGAGTTTTAATAAAAACAAAACGAAAATTACAACAGACTTTGAATAATTAGCGGCTATTTTTGCACTAGCGACCATATCGATTACTCCGATAAGCGTGTGCTCCGCATTTATGTTATCGAGTATTATGCTATGCTTGGCCGAATATATCGAGAAGTAAATTTTTGTTGTTGGCCAGCCCCTAATGCAATACAAGTTATCGCCTTATGAAAGAACAAAAATCGATACTGATTTTCGATATAATACGAATTTGTAGTCATTGTAAATCGTTTGTAAGAACAGCGTGTTTGTAATACATACATATGTAAATTTTTCAAATAAGCTAAGGTAAATATTACTTAATGCTTGCGCCAAGCATTCATTTATCTATATATATTAAACGTTTAAGCGATTTACACACAAATGCAATCGCTGTTGCAATCGTTCGGGTGAAAAACCACAGTTCTTCCAAATTTTTGCTTTGTGTAAATTTTGCAAGCAAGCATCGAAAATGGACGAAAACGCTCGGCCCAGCAACTTGAACAATTTAAACGTGCAGGCGTCTTAGTTTTGCATGTAAACATTGAATCTACAAAAGCCGCAGAATTGATAAAAAAAAAAGCCGCTAACAAAAACAAAACAAATACAAGTGCAATCCGGGCCTCTTTATGTATGTGTTGTGCGTGAGTGTGTGTGTGTGTGCGTTGCGCTTAATCAAATTTGATGCGGGCTCCAAAATCGATTAAGATAAATGTTTGTTTTATGCAAACACTCATTTAATGAATCTATTAAAATGGCCAAAGCATATCAAATGTAATTAATTTACAGATAGGGCAAGTGCATGAGTGTATGTGTGTGCCTGCGTGTATGCAGGTGTGTGTGTGTGTGATTGTTTTGCCCTGTAATTTAAAATACAAATATAGTGGCATGTTTGTTGATTTTAAATAAATTTTACATTAATATGTAGCACGTTTTGTATCAATCTTTATTGATAATTTTTGGTTTTCTTATGATTTTTGGCAGGTTTGCCAAAGTCGACAACCTTGTCGGCATTCTGCACTTGTACACGAACAGCTGTTCCCTGCTGCCATTGTTGTTAGTGTTGTTGCTACCGCGCCGAAACTGTTTATCGCATCGAGTTTACAGTGTGTGTGTGTGTTATTTGAGCGCGCTTATGTCAATTTATTTAAATCGATTAACTAATACTAGTCGTACTCCAGCAAATATTCACCATATACAGCAAAAAGCACAAGCTAAACTTAAAAAATAACCCGATTTATCGTTGGCAAATGTGAAAAGAAAACGGCATTCAATTAACTGCATTTTCGATTTGATTAACATAAACTTGGCTGGAGTTTCTGTTAAACAGCTGTTATGGCTCTTGCTTTTTTGTTGTTTCTTTGACTTTTTAAGCATTGCCCAAATTTGGTCACACTGCTTTGCGGCACATGCTCTCAGTTGCGCTCTGCGACTCTCTCTGTCTCTCTCTGAGCGCAATCTCCTGCTGGTTTTTGTGTTTTCGACGCTGGCGCTGTCTTTGCGTTCGCATTCGCATTCGCTTTATTATCGTTCTCGCGACGACGACGACGAAGAATTCTTAGCCGTATTCTTCTTCATCCTGTGTAAATAATTGTAATTTAAATAATTTAAATTAAACACAAAATCACGCAAAACTAATAAGATAAGCAAGCTGAAGGCATTTCGCGCGTGTTTACCAAGTCATTAAGTGCATGTGTAAGTGCCAAAAAAAAAAATCAAAAAATACACATTAAAATATATACAAATATTCAGTTCTATACATATTCAATTTTTCGTTTCGAGACACTTTTACTTGCCTGCCTCTTTTTACATTGTCATCGTCTCGTTTCCTTTTGGCTGCGGCGACTGCGGCAGCGGCTGCAAAATTTTTTTTGTTATATATGCAAGTATATATATGTGTGTGTTGGTGTGTATGCGTGTGTATATACACACATATGTAAATCCAGACGAGCGGCTGCACAAACACACGCATATTCAGGCGCAAACCGCTGATTTTTAGATTTAGGTGCATGCATTACATACATATATAAACATCATGTATTAATAGTCGCAAAAACTAAAAAAAAAAAATAAATAAATAAAAAAAAAATTAAGTTTTCGAGCGAATGCTAGTCGCGTGCGCCGCCGCTGCATAAAATATAAGGTAAAAATCAATTAAATGCTGCCTTTTATGCGTGTGTCTCCCTTTGGCTTTGCGCTACTTTATTTTAGTCGCCTGCAAAATTCAAGAATATTTTTCCGATTGGCTCGCCAAATGCCCAGTGATTCTTCTTTGTGTGTGTGCGTGCGTGCGTCTCTGTATGAGTTTGTCGTCGTCGTCGTCTGTCCGTTTGTCCATTACCCGCCCGTGCCTTCTTGTTTCATTTTCTTCCTTGTCAGCGGCAGCCATTTGCTTCTTCTTTACATTTGCACGGCAGTGTTTAATTTTTTCGCTCACACTCTATTCGTTTGCGTTCTCTTGCTCTCTCTCTCGTGGTCTCTCTCCCAGTGTGTGCCTTGCATTTGTATACAAGAATTTTCCCAATAAGAGCGGCGATGCCGCCGCCGACGCACAAATAAACAAACTGACAACATCGCTGCCAAGTTATGCTAACCATTCAATTTGATAAATATGTATTTTTATTCATTTAATATATTATTATTACTTTTGTTTTTTGGGCTTACTACTTATTCAAGGCTGAGTTTGCCACACCCCCCTTTTTTTTTGTTTGCTTTGCGCATCGCTCCTTTTTTTTTTAACGTGCTTTTGTTTTTGACATGTCTCTTTTTGGCGTTTATCTTTATGTTTGTTTTTGTATCGGCTGTCTGTGTGTGCGTAAGTGTGTGAGTGCGTGTGTGTGCGTGAGTGAGAGAGGGAGAGGCTCCCGCTAGGCGCTGTGGTTTCGCACGCTGCACTTGTCTTGGCCTCTGTCCTCTGCTATATTATAGCAGCACTGTATCATCATGCTGGGGTAGGTAGGCAGTGGGGGTTTGGGGTGTGGGCAAGCTGTCGCTGGGGTTGCCTTTGCTCGCGCGCATATAAACAACAGAACAGAACAACAGAGAGACAGTGAAACAGACGACGGACGATTGCTTACATATTTTGTAACTTAACCTCAAAACGTTGCGGCCGCTGCTACTACTGCTGCTCTTGCTGCTGCCGGCCGCCGTTCACTCGTTTTTGTGTGTTTGTTCTTGGTGTGTATATGTTAATTTACATGTTTTTTTTTTTCGGTTTGTTCCTTGTTGTGTCTCAATCCCCTCATCGGCAACTGTCGTTTTCTATTCGTATTTTTCGCGCATGATTCAGCCTCGTCGTCTCATTTTTGTTGTTGTAATTGCTGCCTTCTTGTTCTTCTTCCTGCACGTTTTCTGCTTTGTTATTGTTTACGTAACGAGCAGAGAAACATTTATTTTGCTCGTTTATATTTTTAAGCTTTTGTTAGGCATATTCTTCGGCTGGTTATCTGTCTGCTGCCCTCCTCGGCGGTGTTATCTTGGTTTCTCTACCATGACCAGCTCAAAGTAGGCACAGTGGTTGCAGCTCTATTCAATATGTATCGAAATTTCGATGTACCTAAATTATTTAGTATTATGAAACTTTTATTGATTATCTATAATAATTACTCTCGATTTTCTTTCTCATTACAGTTTGTGTATATTTTCATCATTAAAACGACGTGTAAATTAAACATCATCCTAATTATAATTCAAAGCAACAACAACAGCAACCATCAAATCTTTAAATCTCAACAACAACCAATTTCAATTGATCTGTATAAAAAAAAAGAAGAAATTTTAATTATTTAACCAATTGTCATACGTAATTATTGAAAGCATTGATAAAAAGTTCATTTGTTTGGTTTAACTGTGTAAAGTATTATTCATAATTTGTGTTAAATAGTGTAAATTTTTGTAAAAAAAAAAGAAAATAATAATAAAACCAACAACCAAACGTGCGATTTTTTTTTCGAGTGTGTGAAAATAGGAAACGTCAAATGTAATTAATTCTCTCAAATCACTGTAAATTAATATTTAATATTAAGAAAGAGCAAAGTGCGGTTTCTATGCATGTATAAAACAACAACAACGACAACTACTGCAAGACGAGAAAATCCTTAATATAAATCAAAAATAAAACGGTTCCAATTTGTATGTGCAATTTGCATAGCTCTCTCGTCCCACCCGTCCCACTCTGCTCGCGACGTGTTTCGAATTTTAAAATTGTGACCGCAACGTAACGTCGTCGTCCAGTTGCTTTTAAACTGTTGTGTTGTGTTCGTACCGTTGAAGTTTCTTCTCGTTTCGTTTTATTAATTTAAATATACAAATATTATATATATATATATATATTTTGGTTGTGCTGTCAATTTTTGCAATACGCGCCAATTCGTCAGCTGAGCAGCAAACAGCCGCCAAAATTGAGCTGTTAAGCGCACCCACGATCTCGATATCGACGGTAGCGCCCACGACGTCGCCATCGCCGCAACATCATCTCCCGCAGCAGCAGCAGCAACAGCAGGCGCCGTATCACCATCATCATCATCATCAGCAGCAGCAGCAGCAACAACATTACGGACCACCACCGTTGCCGCCACCACCCTCGCCATACTTTCAACATCTACAACAACAGCAGCAGCAGCAGCAGCAACAACAACAACAACAACAGCAACAACACCAGCAACAACAACAACACCAGCAGTTACAACACATGAAGTTTCTTGGCGGTAATGATGATCGCAACGGACGCGGCGGCGTCGGCGTTGGCGTTGGCAGCGATGGTACACGTAATGCCTCTGCCCAGGATGTGGATGCAGCGAGTGCTGCAGCAGCCGCTGCAGCCGTAGGCTATGTATTCCAGCAACGTCCATCGCCCGGCGGTGGCAACACTGGCGTCGGCGTCGGACCCGTTGGCTCCACGTTGCATGATGCCGCTGCCGCCGAATATGCAGCACATTTTGCCCAGAAGCAGCAGCAGACACGTTGGGCCTGCGGCGACGAGCACGGCATCGATGTAAGTACATATATGATATATATATTTTATATATGATATTTATATATATATATATGATATATATATTTATACATGTGATATTAAGATGTAGTCAGCCGCACACACATTTATCTGTTTTGGGCTTGTGCCAACTGCATTCCAAAATGGGGCGGCTCTCTTCATATTTTCAGTGGGTTTACTTATTTTGGCCACAGAAATGCTGAATGAGAATTGTTGTTTAATTTGGTGCAACAAAGTTGTTGCCTCAGTCGGACGTTGTTCAAGAATTATGGACAAACGTGCAATTAACATTTGTGGAACTAACCTTAAAATGGGTTGGTTTTGTGCAAAAATACTGGCTGCACGAAGCATCTCCGATCTCACTCATAAGATACATGTATTCGTGATCAGGATCTGTCTTTAGGAACACGGTGATCCCAGAGACTATAAGAGCTAGAAACCTTAAATTTTGAATATTAGTTCTTGTATATCCTTCGCAGCTGAAGTTTATTTCGATTTTTATCGATAACTGCCTCAGCTACGTAAATATCGATACATTTATATATTTCCGATAGTTATAAATGTCAAAATTTGAAAGACAAGTTCTCATTGATCTTACACAATGACATAGTATTGATCAACTGGGCATATTTCATCAAGATATAGTCCAAGACGTATTCAAGCTCATTTCATTACTATGAGTATTGAGATTAAAACTAGCATATATATATTTAATAACTGAGTTCAGGGTATTATCTTTTGTTAAATATATTAATTATTTGTAGCACAAATCCTTAACTAAATTGAATATACAACATAGTCAGCTTCCTGATGGCATTTTTATGATTTTAGACTTAGAAAATCTTATTCGATCGTAATGAAATTTTTTTTGTTCAAGAATATGTCTGGGTATCGGAAAATGAAATAAACTTAAACTGCGTTTATAATTCAAATTTAAAAACTTATGCTCTTCGAGTCTCTGAGGACAAACGTCAGGCGGACAGAAAGACAGACTGACACAACTGATTAATTATATATTTAAACGTCCTTCTGAATCTTACATACATTTCACCAAACCATTATATCCTTTTGAACTATTTTTAATGGATTAACTCGGAAATAAGGGAAGAACTATGCTCCACAACCACAACTTGTTATGTCTGTTTATATAAATGTAGAACTAATGAATCAGTCAACTTTTTAAGCACTTTTCTCAGAGGCGTTTCTTTATTTTTTGAGGAACATGTTACTTTTTACTAGAGATATTTCAGATAAATATTTTGTTGTGTTTTCGTTAATTTCGAATTGGAATTTTCAGTAATTTTGCTGAGTTTTTCCGAGATCATCTGGTGTCCCTTTGCCTTCTTCCGTTGCCAGCAGACTTTGCGCGATTTGTTTGCTTACCTTTTACCCTGTTCATTCTGTCATATCGTGAATACCTTTCTCGAGAAGGGAGATTATAGCCTATTCCAATGATTGCATAAGCTGCAGTAAATCTTTGGAAGGATCTCTTTTCGTGTGCATATCTCAAGAATAACTGTTGAACTGAGTGACTAATTTTGTACCACTTTTTTTTTTTGTGATTTCAGAATCCTGATAAATGGAAATATAATCCACCAATGAATCCAGCAAATGCCGCACCTGGAGCACCGCCCGGTAACGGCAACGGTGGCAGCAATGGCGGCCCCGGTGCCATTGGCACCATTGGCATGGGCGCTGGCAGCGGTCTGGGCGGCATGGGCAATGTAGGTGCCGGCAGTGGCGGCACCAATGGTGGACTGCATCATCCATCGATGGCAGCTGCTGCCGCTAATATGGCAGCCATGCAACAGGCTGCGGCAGTAGCCAAGCACAATCACATGATGTCGCAGGCAGCAGCCGCCGCCGCTGCCCAACAGCAACAGCATCCACAGCAGCAGCATCCACAGCAACAGCATCCACAGCAGCAGCAGCAACAGCAGAATGCTCAGGGACCACCCCATCATCTAATGGGTGGTGGCAATGGGCTGGGCAATGGCAATGGTCTTGGCGGCCTGGGACAACCGCATCCTGGCCAGCAACAGCAGCAGCAGCAACAACAGCAGCAGCAACAGGGCCAGGCACATCCCGGCCAGCATCAGTACAACTCGAATCTGCTTAGCCATGTGATGAACAATCAGGTGGCAGCTGCAGTTGCCGCAGGCGCCGCATTGGGGCATATGCCACCGTATGCACAAACCGCTGGTAATGCCGGCAACATGTATGATCATCATGCCGGTGCACTGCATCCGGGCATGAACGGCGGCATGCCGAAGCCACCGCAGGACTATGTCTATATGGGCGGACAGCAACATGCCGCTGCTGCCGCCGCCGCTGCTGCAGCAATGGGTGCAGCCCTAATGCCACCACAAAATCAGTATATGAACAATTCGGCAGCAGCTGCCGCCGCCGCAGCCAATCGGAATGCAGCAGTGAGTATCCAAATATATATATTTTAATGGGCCAAATTGGGTAAAAACAATTCTATATATATATAATTATACATATATATATATATATATATATGTATGTATATATATATTTTTTTTTTTGGGTCTAATCAGTTATTGGCTTTGTGTTTCCGTTTTTGGTTGATAAAATCTATCGACAATGATTGATTTGATGCTTATCGATTGGGGTGTAATTTATGATTGCGTTTCGGAAAATTAATCATTGGATACGCCTTTATGAAGGATGTGTTTTGATAATGGAATTCCTGAATTTACAGAAATCAAAACCATTAAAATGCCAACTATATCCAAATCAATTCTTTTTCATACTTATTTCCTACCAATTTCTTCGAGTTAGGATACATTTGACAAAGTTTCTGAAGCACATACGACATATTAATTTAACAATTTATAAAATCGATATTAAATTAACTGTTAGAACTAGTAAATAACTAATTAGTTGCATACGTCAGTATTCCACGGCTATTCATCATGGTATTCACGTATGACACAAAAGGAAACTGCTTTCAAGTTTTCCGTCTTACCTTGACTTTTTCCTTGACACACTTGTCCAATTAAAAATAATTGTTCAAATCAATTTCTGCAATTTCTACAATTTCTTGTGTTAAGTTGTTTATTATGGACTCAAATGGCATTCTTATGAATTCCAATTAATTTACTTTTCTATTGACCGAAGTTATCGAACAATATTTAAATGATCTTTTTCACATTATGATGCAATTTTGTCGATCTATAACCTTAGTAATATTAACAATAGAAAGAAGTTGAACTGCCAATATCCATGTTTTAGTCAGGGAATAGAAACATTATGTTGCTGCTGCTACATTTTGAGAATTATATATATATATATGTGTAACATTTTTGGTTTTCTGTTTTGAGCTATTTAACTGTCCATAGACGTATATTATATACACGATAAGGTCGTAAAAATTGATTAGATGAGTATTTGTTTGCTTTAAAGTGCGAGTCGCATGCGCTTCTCTTACAACATCGATGAGTTTAATTACTCAGCTGTCCGGTTGTTGACTTCGGATACGGCCGGCCCCCTTCAACACTTGGTTGTAACTGCTCCATTAAATATTTATGTATATTTACACATTTTCTTTTATTTGACGGGCTTATTGTCTGAGACGCTAATTATTGTGTAAGCATCGCAGGCTATTGCCAAAATGTCGAACTTAAACCTAAGTTATTGATTTTAAAGTTTTTGCAGCAGTTTCTAGTTTTGCCAACATTGCCAAGGGACAATTTGTTTTTATGGGGTTTGTTGCGCTTTTCGTTTTCGGCCATTTTGCGCTCTTATCGTAAAATTTGCTCATGGGCTTTTGGTTAATCAATAATTTGTTTGTTTTTGTTGAGGTTTTTTTTTATTTGCGTTTGTGGCACGTTGTATACCTCCAAAAAATTGCAAAAAACAAACAAGCCCATGTAGTAGCTGCAAATTGCAAAGTTTTCCATTTCTCTATGGTTTTTGATTGTTTGCTTTTTCTAGTTTTTCCTTATAGACATATCATAAAATTGGCTAATTTTGCAATTTGTTTGCTTTTTTGTTCTTAATAAGCAATGAAATTATCACTCTTTGGAAAACAGTTCAAATAGACATTGGTGAAATTGTAAATAGTATTGTACTATAACAATAATATTTGATTTTCATAATTTGTTTTTACTTATTTTTGTATGTTAAGCAAGATTTGACTTGGCTGCTTATAACTTATTGTTTATAAATTTCCCTAAATGATTTTTGTGAATCACGTTTGCAACTTTGTGGCGAATTAGTTATTTCTTTGCCAGTTGCATTTTCACTGGATTTTCTTCGTTGCAGTCAACCAGCTGCAGCTGTTCAGAGACTAAAGACTTGTGACTTGAGACACGTTTCAGAGCTTTGGCTCTCTTCATTCTTGAGTCTTCAGTGATGGCTTCTGATTGCCTCGCACTTCTAGTTTTCGCTATTCTATTCCGCTAACAATTGCATTCCGGTTGCCATTTGCTACCTTATAAGCGCACATTGCACACACATACATGTGTGTATATTATAGACATATATATATATATATATATATATATATATATATAATTATAAATACATACAAATGTGGCATCTGTGTTGGTCTAGTACTACCCAGAAAAAACCACTCGCATTTATAAATAAAAGAATTTAATACTCGACTTGGACTTAATGAGCTCTCAGCTAAGCTCCACTTGCAGTTTTTCCACCTCTAGTTGTGCCTCGTATTTCTACGTTGACTCATTGTTGTTGCTGTTGCTGTTGTTATGTCACTAACGTTTATAGGAAGAGCAATTTTAATTAAAGAATTTCCCTCGTTGAGGTTTCTACTTAACATTTTTAGCGCTTGGCTTGGCATGCGACAAGCAGGAAGCTGTTTAAAGCAGGTACAAGAAGAATAAGTGCAAAAAGAAGAAGCAGATGCAGTCCTGCTCCCTACATAGGTGTACATATATATTAGTAAATACATATATATACATGTATATATATATGAACTAGCGATGCAGTTAGAACTTGGAAGAATGATATTTTTAATGCATGTTCTTCGCACTTGTTGCAACCCGACTCTGCTTCAAAGAGTATGCATTTATTTATCATTATTCGTAAGGGTATTCTGAGGACGCTTTTGGCTTTGCATAATTTCTCTTCTTCGATTCTTGTTGTTCCCTTTGAGCACGCTACCTTTTCTTGTTTTTTTTTTTTTTCGCAACGACTTCCTTTTGTGTTATTATTTCGGAATCTCTCTTTGGCTATGAGCTGTGCATAGTACAAAATACAAAACAAATTTATTGCAATTCTTCCAGGACAGCAGCGGCAGCGGCAGCAGCAGCAGCTGTCAGAAGCAGCCACAAGGAGCAAAGCGAACATGAAACACAGACGACACAGTGTGTGGCTGTGTGTCTGTTTGTGTGTGTGTGTGTGAGCTTTTGTTTTGCTGCCGTCGCTGTTACTCCACTTTTTAGCGCAGTTCGCTTTGTGTTTGTGTTTAGGGCCGAGGCGGCAGGGCCCCACTCAGCAGCAGCAGCAGCCGCAGTCAACATTTGCCATCTTTTCAACACTGCTACGTTCTTGCTCTCATTGGTTCTCTCTCTCTCTCTCGCTCTCTCTGCGTTGTACGTGCGCTTACTCTCATTGTTGTTGATGTCGTAGGTCATTGATTTGCGCTTAACAGCGCGCCGCTGCCGGCAGAAGCCTCATCCATGGGCGCTGCTGCTACTCCTCTTTCCGCTGTCCATTCGCAGCCCTTTGTTTTAGTTGCTTTTTTTTCGTACAGGTTTCTTTTTTTTTTTTTTTTTGCTGATGTAGTTCTTGTTGTTGTATCGTTGCATGTGGCGCATTCGCTCTGTTTTTCTGGTTCTCTTGTGTGTATGTGTTCTTATTTTGTATGCGCTACTTCTTGCATGCTGTCTGCCGTCTCGCTGCATCTGTTCTTCTGTTACTTGTTCTTGTTGCTGTAATTGTCGTTTTCTTTTTGCACGCTATGCTTCGGTCTCTCTCTCTGCTGCATTTTCTTTTGTTGTTTCTCTGTGTGCATATGTGTGTGTGTGTGTGTTTTTTTTTTTTTGCGTGTGCCGTAATGATTTAAATGTGTGTCTGTGTGGTGTCTGATTTTGAGCGCAGCTTTTATTTTGTTGTCATTGTCTTTTGACTTTGTTTTTCTCTGCCTTTCTTGTTGTTCTTGTTGTTGTTGTTGGTTGCCGACTGGGCGGCAGCGGTTACTGATTTGGGGCGTCTTTAGAAGCTTTTAAAATCACCACGAAAACTTTTGTAATGCGAGTGTGCATGTTAATGTTTGTGTGCGGCCTCCGCAGTGATTGAGATATGTCTGAGCATGTCTGTGTGCACTTATGATATACATACATGTATATATATTTATATGTGTCTGTGGGTGTGTAAGAAAGTAAACTTCTCTTTGCTATGTTAATATTAACCCAGATTCTTGATGAATAGAGCTCAAATTGACTTAAATCGTTAGGGGGGCTTTGGCACTTTGATTGTCTTCGCTTAATGCGCTAAATTCTTGTTTAATTTTGTTTGACTAATTGCTGTTATCAATAAAACTAGCGTTCTGAATTGAAAATGTATTTGCTTTTCGTTGCTTGTGCTTCTGCTTCTGCTTCTGCTTCGTTTGTTTCTGACTGGTAATTATCATCATTACACTTGTTAACTTTATCACTTATCTGGTCTTGGGGAGTAAAACAATTAGCTTGTGAGGTTGTTGCAAGCATGCTCTTCTTTTGCCGCATCTTCTTCATGTTTGTTGCTGCGGCAAAGTCTCTAATTTCACACAATCTGCACGCAAGTGGAGTCTTTGCTCTGCTGCCCCTCCACCACCCACCCCCACCCCCTGGTTCACATCAAAAGCGATGAGCGCTTGTGTTTCGCTTCTAATTGAACAAACGTTGCAGTCGTTGTTGCCATGGCCGCTGGCAGCGCTTCTTCAACTTGTTGTTGCTGTTGCTGTTGTTGTTGTTGTTGCGCTTGCCAATTAGCAAAAATGTTTGCCTGACTGCAATATTACAAGAACAACAGCACGAGGCCAAGGAATTGCACCTTTGAAAGCTCGAAGCTGCAGATTGTTAGACTCGAACATACCCTGTAATCAGTAATCAATGATAAGAGATTTATTTACGAATGTGTTAGACGATAACATACTCTGTAACATATAAATGGCAAGTAGAGAAGAGTTCGTTGATAATATATGCTATATAAGAGCCAAATAAAATCTATAATATATTAGTCTTGCTCGGAAATCTATACTTCGGTTTGTGATAGAAGATACCATCAAAAAAATCTAGAGGCCATCTAAAATATCTTCGGCAGTCAGAATAGAGTATATATAATAATATGTCCAAAAATCATAGTTCTATTTTCAAAATGTTGACGTCTATTATAGTCTCTGTCGACTTAGTATTCACAAAATAACTTGGTATTTTTTAAATTTGTCAGTTGTACAAAATTTATACCAATCTTTAATCACATATTTTGAGTGATTGATAAATAGCTAAATGGCATTTAACTGGTAATCCTCGCAAGTAAATATGCCCGAACCAGAGCCAAATACCTTTTTCAGTTCGTTGGACAACTTTGCCAGTACATTTTATGGCCAGTTGGCTCTTTTATATCCTGGTAGAAATTTAATATGCTCGCCACTCACCATACAAAGCTGTCTGGCAATGCTGCGCATGGGCGCTGTGGATGGAACAGTGACTGCCAAGGAGCTGGACAAGGGAATAGGTTTCGTTTCCAACGATACCAACGAAATAGCTGAGGGCTTTCAGAATGTGCTTGCAACATATCAGGAGAACAGCAATGTGGTGCACATGGCCAACCGAATGTATCTCAGCCAAAGCGTTCAACTACGATCAGAATTCGTTGAACTGTTAACTGAGAAATTCTACTCGGAACCCGAGAATATTGATTTCGCAGAGATGGCGAATGCCGCCAATATAATCAACGATTGGATCGTATCCAAGACGAAGCGATTGATTAAGAACCTGGTCAGACCCGAGGTGATAACCAAAGCCACCAAATTGATTCTCGTCAATGTGATTCACTTTAAATGCGAATGGAGGATTCGATTTGATAAGAAGGCAACGCGTCGCGAGTTCTTTTACTTGGATGACAGGAACAGGGTGAAAACGCTCTTGATGAAAGTTCAAAATACATTCCACTATGCTGACTTAAAGGAACTGGATGCCAAAGCCTTGCGTTTATCCTACACAGATGGCGATCTGCACATGCTGATTGTTCTACCCAATAAAAATGATGGCTTGGGGCAACTTCAGCAACGGTTGCTATCAATTCCCTTGACGGATATTATTTCTGGACTGTCTCAACGAAAAGTCAATGTAAAACTACCCAAATTCACAGCTGAATATGAAACGGAATTGAGTCCAGTCATTGAGATGTTGGGCATCAAAAGGATTTTCATTGATAAAGCAGAACTTGGCAAAATATCGCCATCGCAAGCAAAGATGAAAGTTTCCAAGATTTTGCACAAAGCCTTCGTCGAGGTAAACGAAGAGGGAAATGAGGCAGTCGCAGTGTCCGAAGTCCAAACGAACAGTGGAAAACCAAAACGACCTCCTCCACCACCAATGGATTTCCATGCAGATCATCCCTTTTACTTTGTCATCTATGATGCCCAACATGGTCCACTTCTTGTGGGTAATCTTCAATCCCCTGTAGCTGCCGGGTGTATTGATGCGCCGCACAAGGCCTGCTTATGCGAAAGATGAGCATAATCTGGAAATATCTATCCCTAATATTTAATTGTCATCATATGTCATCATATCTACTTTTAAAATTGATTAAATTGACAAGTGCAGTTTACAACACAATGCTATCCAGTCGAAGCAAAAAAGTGGATAACGGGGCATATACAGTGATAGCAAAGCAAACGTTGTTGCTTATTTGTTGGTTGTCGTTTATTGTGTTTGACGAGCGTGCGAAAAGCTCAGCAGTCTCAGTCGCAGTCTCAGTCGCAGTCTCAGTCGCAGTCGCAGTCGCTGCTGGCAGTTAATTGATTTGCATAGCCGGTTACACTTACCTTTGCTCTCTCTCTCTCTCTCTCTCTCTCTCTCTCTCTCTCTCTCTCTTTCTCTCTCTCTGTCTCTCTCTCTCTCTGTCTCTCTCTTTCTCTCTCTCTCTCTCTCTCGCGCCCGCTCTCACTCTCTCTTCTCTTTCTTAATGTTAAGAGTTGCTCATCTTGTCTGCTTGTCCATCATAAGCCATTCTTATTTCGCCGACTACCTCGTTCTGCATAACTGTATTTATACATGTATGTATGTTTTGTGTGTTGCACTCATTCTAAGCACGACTTGCGAGCGATGTCATCCCAATTATCAGCATTAATTAAATAAACATTTTAAATGCAGCTTCAAATTGCTTAACACATTAATTTGCTGACTGTAAGTCAAATGATGTTTTTAATTGCCGCTACCCTTCGCCAAGTAATGCATATTAGCTGACTCATTTCGTTTGCATAAATATCCGTTCAGGAAAAAGTTTACAATTTAATATATCAAATTAGATTTCATTAGTTCTTTAAGAGAGCGACCAGAAAGCTTTCGTTTCGTTCTCAGCGGGCATTACTTGCTCTCCTCCTTATTTCTATTTTGTTGTAAATAGCAAACAGCTGCTTGCGGCAGGCTGCGCACACTGTCAATTGGGGCTGCAAATCATGATCACAGCTCAGACCCATACAAACAAAAACAAAAAAAACATATAATCGGTTTGAGAGGAGTGCACTCTCTCTCTCTCTCTCTCTCTCTCTCTGTTTCTCCACCCACACAGCGAAAGCGACAGTGTCGTTAAGCTGCGCTCAATTGTTAGTTCTCTTCCCTCTTAAATTACGTAAAACTATGCCAAATGAAGCTTAACGCACACGCATACAAATGCTGATAAATACAAAGAATACAAAAAGTGCTACTTGCACACGTGTGTAGTTGTTGTATGTGTGTGTATATGTATAGGGGGCTGCAGCCGGCTTGAAGCTTTGGCGTATACTCTCATTAGTGTCGACGTTCCTGCTCTGCCGCTACAGCATAAATTGCCTCTGATTATGTATGCAAATATGCATGAATGTGTGCGTGTGCGTGTATATACATAGATACATATACATATATGCATGTATGTTATGTATTATCGTTACGTGCCGCGAGCAACAGCTGCTACCTTGCTGCTCTCTCACGCTCTCACACGCTTTTCTTACTCTCCCGCTGTTTGGCGATTTCGCGTTTTTGCTTTTGCCGACAGCAGCAGCAGCAACAGCAACACGGGCTGACAGCCGTGTAGAATTTTTAGTTTGGCCGCAACAGTTGACTCGTCTGCATGGTGTTTTATATTCGCTAGGCCCCACCATCCGTCCCGTCTTTTAGTGCGGTGTTCTCTTCTCGTGTGCGATCGTTAAGCACGTTTTTCATTGTGTGTGTGTGTGTGTGTCAGTGAGTGAGTGAGTGAGAGTATACAAATGTTAATATATATATATGTATATGTATGTGTATATGCTTACACACCGGCTGCTGCGGGGCTAGAAGAGAGTGCTGCAAACAAACAATCGAGCGCGTGAAAAATTACCTCAAGTTTTTTGCGTGAAAAAAAGAAGAAGAAACGTAAATGCTGTAAATGCTTGCAACGTTTTGTTATGTGTGTTTTAGTGAACGTGTGTAAATGTACACATGCTAATGGTTTTTTATGTGAAAAACGCAGCTGTTGCCCGCTCGTCCATAATTGAAGCTGTTGAAAAGTCCAAATCAATATCGAAATTCATCAATAAATCATAAATAATAAGGCGGCTGTATAAATTTAGCACCAGCACCAACACCAGCACCGAACAACAGCCAAAGAAGCCTGTGTAACGTGTTTTGTATTTGCGTGTGTGTGTGTGTGTCCGTGCGACTGTGTGTGTGTGTGTGTGTGAGTTTGCGTTCCCCATTACCTTGGCGCGTTCTCTCTTTTGTGCGCTCCTTCTTTCACTTACCGTGGAATCATTACACACTCTCGCTCTCTGGATCGTGTGTCTCGTTGAGTGTGCCGTTGTTGTTTCCAGCCTGCCTACTCATGATGAAACTACTGCACGACTTCATGTTGGATGCTCGCACTGCCGAGGATGTTGCACTCACACAGGAAATGGTAAAACGACTAACTACCTTTCATATCTACTTCTCGTCCGGCTATCCTCCTATTCTATCTGTTTTATTTTTTTTTTTTTTGTGTTGACTTTATGTACTTTATTGCTCTTTGGTGGTAGAATGCTCTTCGTTGCGTGTCTCCTTTTGATTGATTGGAGCAAGTGGTGAATGCGCATTTTTGACTTTTTGCCTATTTGAGTTGAGTTAATTTTGATGAATTAGCGCGAAGACAACAGTAACATTCTAGCTTAAATCATTTGGTCAGCTTTTTTTTTTTTGTAGTTTAACATGTGCACCTATTTAACAATTTGTTAACTGTTTCCAGCGGATTATGTTATGTGAATTTGCATACGAACTGCTCTAATTATTCACGTGCAATTATTTACTTGAAATTTAGTTTCTTACTTTCACTAATTATTAGCTATACTAATTATTAGCTATACACATGGAAATATTTGATATATTGTGTCAATTTGCGTCGATTCGTTACTGTTTACATTTTAAACAGACATCGAGGATGCCCCCCAACCACTTTTTATTTGTTTATCTAGCTTATCTTAGTTTCTTTATCAACTGGTACTTGCTACTCTTCAAACTCTTCTGCTCGCTACTCGCTAATCAAATGATATAAATAGCTCACAGATAAATGTACAGTAGAAAATATCATTGTTATCAGTCCAGAGCTTTAGACATTACTTCTGTCGTATCTGTTTGAGCTTTGTTGTTGTTTTTTCTGTTTTTTTTTTGTAATGAATTTTGGAAAAAAAGTGTTTCCCAGCAGGAACGCTCACAAGCTCATATAACTTACAACAAAGCCACAAACTGCAGAATTTGAATAAATAGTGAAGAAAGTCGGTTTTTGTAGTTTAGAACACATAAAGCTGGATTTTAAAAAATCGTCTCAAAGACAGATTACAATATTGGTCGATTAGTTAGTTGTTAAATCTGTCAGAGTTCAGCTAATACTATTTTTTGTTAAATAATTTCTATAATATAAATAGCTAACTTTATCTCATAAAATGAGTACACTAAAATATTACAAACACTCAAAAGCTAAACTTGTCTTCATTAGTTAATTTATATATTTATTAATGCGGATAAAATTTGCATTTCATCTAGATAAATTTGACTTGGTTGAAGTTTTGGTTCTAGTGCATAAAAGCAAGAACGCTATAAAACACTTTCTTTAATGGTTCCCCTCGTCTCTTACAAATAAACAAAACCGTCTGAAATTTGTATATACATTTAATTTTTATTTTTTTTTTATCATTTTTGTTGCTACTACTGCTATTAGATAATAGCACAGAACTGTAGCTGCTCACTCCCAACGAATCACCGACCCCCGACGACCCCAAAGCAGAGCTAACCGCGGACCGTGGTTTTTGTTCATAGTTCTTTTCAGCGTCTGCTTCGAGTTTCATAGATAAAAAAAAACGTTTTGCGGTTCTTTCAATGCTCGAGCAATTGTTTTTATATGCATTTCACGTTGTTTAACCCTAACTTGAACAAAAATAAAATATATAAAATACAAATCCGATGGGGGCAACACACAAAATGCTGAAGAATGAACTCAGCTGAGGAAGCGACAAGGAGAGTGGTCGGAGGGGAGGTAGAGAAGTGAAGAGGGGTTGTAATTTGTACAACATTTTATGCTGCTTGCCTTTTTTTATGTTGTTGCCCCCTTCTTTTGCCTGGTACCGGTTTCGCTTTTTTTTTTTTGAAGGAATTTACATGAAAATATATATTTTCCGGTTTCAATTATATGCAATACACATTGCACACACATGAGTGTGTGTATTGTGTGTGTTGTGTGTGTATCGGGGTCTCCCTTGCCTTTTTGTCTAGTCTATTTCACGGTTGATTACGTTACGTTGTCATCGTTTCACTCGTCGTTGCCCGATTAGCTGAATTACTCGCAATGGGCGTGGCCAGAAGTAATCATCATGTTGATGATGTTGATGGCGGCTATAAACGCTAAAAACATTTCAATCATCTCAATTTGATGGCAGTCCAAACTAAATGTGTCATACGTTTTTTAATTGATCCAATATCACTGAATATTTACTATTACTATAAATGTTATACATTCTATTTAATTATTTATTTGTGTTGTGTTCAATACATAAAATAATATTCTCAGTCAATTATTTATTGTTTTTACGGTTTTTTTTTCTTTTATTTTATTATAGTTCAAATGTTTTATTTGTGTTTCATATACACCAATATATTTCAAATTCCGTTGGAATTCTGTCTTCAGGACTGTGTAATGGCAAAATATGATTGAGTACCATTTTAACTTCACCCCTCCTCACCACATCTTTCCCAGAGCTAAGTAAGCCACTTTCTTTGAATTACGTATGGCATTTGACAGTCACATTTCGCCGGCAGCCAAATTAGTATGGCATTTCTTGTTCAATAATACTTTAGCTGCAATGTTGCAAAACAATTTGACAAAATTTCTAATGCAACAAATGCAAAAAATGTGCAATTTAGACACGTGACACGTGAATGTTATACAAGTGAAAAAAGGTGAGAGAAAGCACCTGAAAATGTCTCGCACACGTTACCTTTTTCCACACCCCCTAACTCTCCCCCTCTCCTATATTTTAATTTGACGGCTTTTGCTGTTTGGCTGTGGTATTTATTGGATTTGTACCACGCCCCCAATTGCAACGCCAGCAAGTTAAGCTCCTCGGGCAGTTCCTTTG